GAACCGTGGTCCCTGTGCTTTGCTAAGCTTGTTCTAAGTAGGTGCTTTAGACCACTGAGCCATCTCACCAGCCCCCTGCTTGGTTCTTAACCTTTGGTGGGCATCAGAATCGAAGGCCCCAATTCCAGAGTTTTTGATTCAGAGATCTCCAGAAAAGGCCAAGAATTTACAACAAATTCCTGGCCACTGATATTGCTGTAATGGGGGTGCAAGGACCACCTCTTAAGAGGTACTGTTTTACCATGCCCTCTACCCTAGAATATTTCTATTTGGGACCTATGAACTTGAAATCTACAGAAATTTGATAATTTTTCTGTTAGAGGAAGCTCTGTATAGTGACTTTCAGAAACATACGTGGCATTTGTTTGACTTGTATTTTCTTGTTAAATGATTTTGTCCTTGTTAATAAAAAGTCAAAACAGGAGCAGAATTTGTAGAAGAGACATGCTTTACTGAAACCAAGCCCTGGCCCTGCCAGTGCATTACAGGAGGATTTGGCTCCTTTGGAATAGGATATGCGCATTAGTGACCTGTCTGTCAAGGCCTCCAAGGGCAGCAGTTGCGAGTGAAGAATGAGGCCAGTTGGAGAGGTCCTGCCCAGCTTCTGCGACCTTGAGAGGGACTGCTGCTGCTGAGCGCATGTAAAGCCATGTGTGCCTACACGTTTTGGCAGCATTGGCCACCAGCTGTTTGACACTTGCCCTGAGCGCAGAAGTCTTTCCTACCCCTTTTCTTTCTTCTCTCTATATTTGTAGGAAGAGAGAATTAGACCAAACATTTCATTCTTTTTAGATGCACTTGTGCTAAAGACAACTTGATTCATTTGACAGAATGTTATTCTAAAAAGTCACCTGAGAATTCATGATCTGATCTGAATATTAATGTAGCACTGTAACATTTCTGCTTCTAGACTGTACCCAATAATGAAGTAGTCTATCAGTGCCTGGACCTGTATCTGAACTTTTTTTTCTGTGTTTTTCTAGGGAAGGGTCTACAGGGTGTTTGGGGTCTCACTATTAGATCAGACTTGTAGTGATTCTCCTGTTTACAGCCTCCCAAGTGCTGGGATTATAGGTGTGCGCCACACCTAGTCTTAATTGCTGACTCAGCACACCCTGGGGTTGGGGTGCAGTCCCAGTGCCTGCAGTCCCAGTGCCTGCTTGCCGGCGATTTAATCCACTGAGCTATTTGGCCGGCCCTTTTTTTTTTTCTTTTTCTTTTTCTTTTTCTTTCTTTCTTTCTTTCTTTCTTTCTTTTTTTTTTTTTTTTTTTTTTGACAGTCTCAGTATGTATTTCGCCCTACCCTCAAACCCACAGTGATCTTGCTGCCTCAGCCTCCCGAGTTCTGGGACCATAGGCATGTGCCATTAAATTATTTTGCAGTGAAGTCTTGCTATGTTTCCTTGGGCTACTCGAACACTCCCCTACCTCGGCTTCCCACTTAGCTGGGAGTACCAACATTCCCTGGTTTGGGTTTTGTAGATACAATGTTGAATATAGAAACAAAATTGTAGTGAAGAGACATCTGCCTTCACTCATACCCACAGTTGAATTTATACAGCCTGGACGCTGTGTACAAAAGCATCATGGGTGGTTGGATATGCTGCTGTTTTATGTGAAGTGTAGCCTGGGGGGTGCCTAGAGTTCATGTCCAGGCTAAGGTCACAACATTTATTTTCTCAAAGTGTGAATATTCAGTTGATAAATTTAAAGTACTTGCTAAAGGCATTTTAGACACCCATCAGTACAGTATTTGATAGAAGTCTGTATTGCTCTTAGACTTTTTTTTTTTTTTTTTTGGGCAGAACCAGGGATTGAACTCAGGCCCTTGCGCTTGCCAGGGAAGCGCTTATTCCACTGAGCTATCTCCCTGTCCCATGCTGTTGGACTTCTCAAAGCTCCTAGTGCATCTTGAGTAGGGCAGAGATTTGAGGGGGAAATGGTGCAGGTCCTGCTGTTGACAGCTCTGCACGGCAGTTAGGCTGGAGGCCCTTGTGATCCCCAGGCTTGTAAGCCTTTTGTTCACTGTAAACACCTAGAGAATGTAGTGAAGATGAGCTATGACGACAAATCAAGGATTTTCCAGTTAATCACAGAGCCCTTTAAACCTCTCTTATTTGTATTCAAAAAGACTGTAGAGAACACAGCTTTTGGGTCAGATGTCAAAGAAGGAACGTTGTAGATCTGGGGCCATGTTCCTTTTTTTGGTGTTTGAAGATGAAGATGTACTCTTGACGTTTCTGTTGTGATTTGACAGGTGTTTCTGTCTGTGCCCCTCATTGCCAAGCGGGAGGTTCACACAGTGCATCTCACTTTACTGCTCTGAATGTAGGACACCTGAAAGGCAGTAGTTAAGTAAATTGTTTTGTGATATTTTGTTTTTTTGAGCAAGTTCTCACGAGTTTGTTCAGGCTATCCTTGAACACATTACATAGCTCAGGCTGGCTTTGAACTCATTTTGATTTCTCTACCTCAGCCTCTTCAGTAAATGAACATTTACAAATATAAATAACTGCAGGCAGCCTGTTTCGTATCTGTTTGATATATCTTGGAAAATTGATGCTGAGTCAGTCTGATTGTCCTTTTTTATCATAGTGATAAAGAAGTTGTAACATTGTACAGTGGAAAGAAACCACTCTTGATTTCCTGTGGCAGTGCCTTTATGTAAGATAGTAATCTTGACTGCGTAGGCTGTAAGATCTCATCTTGGGTATATCCTAATTTTACCTTTGCCTTAGATACTCTTTATTTTCAGGTAAAAGATCAACTGAGATCAATTGCAACAGAAAGTCACTGTGACTCACTGGGTTAATCCTGATTTTAGGCCTCTGAGGATGTGGATGCCTCTGCCAAGTCCAGTGCTGTGACTTGGTGGAGCCAGGTGGCCAGGCAGCGTGCTCTGTCTACAAGCTTTGGCTCAGCCCTGCTCACACACTTGGAGAGGCTGCTGAGGACCACACCACTGGCATGGAAGCCCTAAATGTGTTCCCTGTGGAACTGCAATTACCCTGTCATCTGGAGGGAGAGACTGTTAGAATGAATTGCTCAGTCCCCTCAACTTTAACCACCATGTGTATTCCAGAGCTTGTTTCTAGGAGCTACGTGTAGTTAGGTGCAGCAGTGTGTGTGTGCAGCTGCCTACTACCTGTGCTTCCCAGCAATGGCTGTCCAAGAATTGGATGAGCTCTTATGGTCCCTTGTATGCTAAGGGCCATGACTGGCAGCGTACTCCAGCCCAAAGGCCCTTGTGATCAAGGAGTTTGCAATCTGTGATCACATTGTTTGATCCCTAACACTGTTTGAAGGACCAGTATTTTAAAAGCAAACTGGAATGTGTTTGTATATATTCATTTAACATGGATGGTTAGGTAGTTTGAGCGGAAAATAGGGTAAAGGGGGAAGAAAATTGAGGGAGTGCTGTTTGCATATATTTTGTGCCTGTCATGTAGAAGCAGTAGACTTAGTGCTGCTTGAAAGCAGAATCAAGCTTTGTACACTTATCTGAGAAATATTTTAACTGCTAATCACTCAACCAACAAGGGCCAGACACTGGTAGCTGTTAGAGATAGAGTACTGAATAAAGTAGGCTCTTCTGTCTGAAGCTTCTAGTGAGGGAGACATGTTCAGTGATTAATTACACTCATTTAATTGGGTCGAAGCAAGAAGACAGAGAAATATAGGCTGCCAAGTGTCTATATTGGCGGCTGACCTAATGTGGGAGGGAAGTGGAGGCCTCAGAAGGCGGGGTGTTAGCCTGAGACTTTAAGGATGAGCTGGTTTAGGGGCCAGGGTGGGGTCTTAGATGCTGGGTTGAAGAGTGGGGCAGGGGTGCTGTGTGGCTTGACTGGGAGATTGAAAGAGCCCTGAGGCAGGGCCGCAGGGAGGGAAGGGAGTGCAGAACCGCTCGCCCCTGCCCCTGCAGAGCCTGGAACCGGCCTTAGGAGGTTGATGTTGCCCAGGGAGGAGTGGAAGGTGACTCAGGGTCAGGTGTTAGAGACCTGGGGTAAATGGTAAAAGTGACACAGTTGAAAGAGTGGCAGGGGCCGGATTTTGGCTTCGACCTTGTTCTCGAGCCTCTCATGCCCATTCCTTGGTAACAGCTAACCAAAGGCACAGATGGCAAGTTTAGCAAAGTATAAGTTCAGCCACCTGGCATTCATCAACACAGGTGAGAGGCGCAGCTCCCAGGGGCTGAGTGTTTAGTCTAGTGGGAGCCAGGGGCCACCTGTTGTAGCGGCCGTAGTGGGAGAGAAGCACCCGGTGGACCTTAGGCTCTTGTCTGGTATGCATTGGGTTTTACCCCATTATGAGGCTATTATCTACATATGCATCTCTGTGTGTGCATTTCCTTTCAGGGACCATGAAAGATACCAGATTAAGAACATTGGAAACTGAAGTCCCAGTTACCCCCAGAACAGGTAAGGTACACTCCCAAGTCTCATGGTCAGCGATAGATGGGAGGGAATCCCTCATGGGGTCCATAACATTTATGATTGCAGGGATTGGATGTCTATCACGTAATTATCAAAACTACTGGCGACTTCTTAATTTCTGTTTAGTGTTGTGCACCACCCGGTCACTTCTTGTCTTCTGAGCGGCGCTTTTTGTGTGTCCCCCTCACATAGGGTTCAAAGGTCTTGTGCAGTTTCCTAAGGGCATTTAGCTAGAACCCGGTGGACATGTGGTGCAGATCAGTCATGTGTGACAGCAAAGTGACTTTAACCACTGATTAATTCAGGGTGTGGATATTAGAGTAGGTTGTTGGACTGTGCAGGGGCTCTCAGCCCGTGCTGGGCTCATACAGATACACCAGCGCAATGCCTGGGCCCTGCTTCTTCACCTGCTCTGGAGCAAGGCGAGGCTCCAGATAATTTTTTTGCCCTTCTTCCTTTTTTTTTTCTTTTTGTATTTTAAGAAAAGGTCTACAGGGTGTTCAGGGTCTCACTACTAGATCAGGCTCATAGTGATCCACTTGTTTACAGCTTCCCAAGAGCTGGGATTAGGGGTGTGCACCACCACGCCCAGTCTAAGTTGCTGTCTCAGTGTGCTCCAGGGGCGGGGCTGGCACGGCAGGCCTGGGGATTGAACCCCCAGTCCCTGTGCCTGCTTGAAGGAGCTTTAATCTGCTGAGCTATTTGGCTGGTCCTATTTGTTGTCCATCTTGGGTCGAGAGCCCATGGACTAACTAGTGAGCATTCATTAGTGTCGGTGTTTATTAATTCTCTTATGTTTTGGAAGATAAATTATATACCTTGGTAAGTTTTAGGAATTGAAAGTTTCTCATAGTGCCAGAATATAACCTTCATAAAAATTGAGGCTTTAGCATTTCATAGATCAGAATTTAGTCTTTGTGAACTACTGATCAGCAAGCTGTCATTTTGCGTTTACAGCAAGAATGTGTGTATGTAGAAGGGGCGGGGGGCATTTGGCCTACTGTTTGAATATACAGCTGCCAAAGCGGTTTCATTTCGTAGCTCAGTGGTCGCTATTCACTGTATGCTGTCACCGTGTGTCGTATCTATGTCATAGAAGTCTAGGAAATAAGGTCAGAATTCTTGCCTTAAAGATCTGTGTCGGTTAGTAAACAGACAATAGATCATAGATGATCTAGCAGGTGAAAATATTGTTCTCATAAGTGGAGGAGAGTTTTCTAAATTTGAGTTTTCATTTTTAATTTTTTTATGTGTTCTTCATCTCATCCCTTTTAGAAGTTCACTGAATATGGACTTGAACCCAGTCAGCTGGTCGGATGTTCAGAACATTGATGCCCAGTTGGAATATCAACAATATAAAATGTAAATTCTGGGATACGAAAATAAGTCTCAAATTTTATTAAACATTTTCTGTGGTTAGAATTTCGTTACATTTCATTTATTTGTTTGATTGGTTTTTGTTTTTGTTTTGTTTTGTTTTTTTGAGGTGGGCTTCACTATGTAGTTCAGGTTGCCTTTAACTTACTATGTTCAAGCCCCAGATTGGTCTTAGATTTGCAGAGGAGCCTCTTGCCTCAGCCTCCTAAATACTGGGATTGCAGGTGTGTGCCACCATGTCCGGCTTTTGTTACATTTTAGTAATTAGATTTAAAACTGAAGTTTTTGAGTAGGAAAAGTGCTTTGTGAACACTTGCTTCTGGATCGTCCAGTAGGTGGCCACTGTGTTACCTGTGTGGTTCTCTCTTAAGCTAGTATACCTCATCCCATTGTCAACCAAAGCTGTATTCAGACAAGTTTCCAGGAGAGAAGTTTTTTTTTTAAAAAAAAAAAAGCTGATACCTGAGATCCACAGTCTGGAAGTGCCCACAAAGCACTGTCTTCAAGCACCGAGACTTGCTGACAGCCTGTAGTAACGGTCTTGACGAGCTTTTGATGAAGCCTTCTCTCCTCCACAGATTTGCAACTAAGAAATTGTCTTAAAGCATTTCAGTAAAGTCTGTTTTGAAATTTGATTGCTGAATACAAAATCTGAGTATTTCATTTTTTCCTTAACACTGATTATTCAAGTCTTTATAATTCTCTTGCCTTGGTACTGTTTTTCACAGATCCCCACCCCTGCTGGCGATAGAACCCAGGGTCACATTGTGCTGAGCAAGTGCTCTACTGCTGAGTTACACCCCTATTTTGTTTTGTTTTATTTGAGACAGGGGCTTATTATGTACTTCAAAGTGGCGTTGAACTCACTGTATAGCCCAGATGAGTCTGAAACTTGTGGTAAACCTCCAGCATGCGCAGCTAGCCTTTTTTGTATTGTTTATGTTTGGTTTAAAAGTGGCCTTTGGACATTGTTTATTGTACATGGATTTTTATGTACTTCATTCATACAAAATGGAAGTGAAAGGGTTGACGTTTTATTTTAAATTGATTCTCACAAATGTGAAGTACTCCCAAGTGTGACCTTTTCTTGAAAGACTACAATTTAAATGTAGTTCTTAAATGTTATTTTGTTTATAATCAATACTGCAGAAGAGTTCAGTAAGTTAGAATTAAAGTGTTTAGTTTTTATTGTGTAGTTGAGTTAAATTGTTACAAACACTTGTAAGACTGCCCAGCTAAGTTACTCTTAATAGTTAGGTTAATATATTTATTTAAAGGTTTTTAGTTGTTTTTTAGTATAAATATTACACCATTAACTGACACTTTTACTTTCACAATAAGCATACATTTTAGACTGAAATTGGTAGAATTTCAACTTATGAGACACAGAATGTCATCTAGATGTTTTACCTCTCCTCAGAAGTGAATGTTCAAATGTTGACTTACCGCTCATTTTCCTAAGTATATTCTCGTCCACATCACTCATATTTTGTAGACAGGTATAATGGTAGCAGCCTAAACATTTAGCTACCATGCAGGAGGCCATAGGAATGGTAACGGGAGGGGACAGTGATGCCGAGGGAGGAAGGGAGGCATTCACCAGCCCATCATGGGGGGCCTTGAAGGCTGCCCATGAGTTTGCTCTTCCTAGTGGGTCCTACACAGGAAAGTGCTGGATTCTGGTTTCCAGGCTTCATAGTTTCCTGTGGTCCTTTGGTAAATGAGTTTAAGGAAGTGAGGGAGCCTCCTGCTCTCCTTCCAAAGAGAAAATTGCGGAGGGCTTGCCTTGAGTGGGTGTGAGGAATAGCCAAACGAGTGGGTTTGCTGTGGGGCAGGTACAGAGGCAGGAGTGTTGCTGAGTGTGTGCTTTAGCCTCCTGATAGTCCTTTTTATTCTTCGAATTATTTCTTTATTTTTGAGATAAAGTCTCATTCGGTGTATCAGGCGGGCCTCAAACTCACAGTGATTCTCCTGCCTTAGCTTCCTGAATGCTGGATTACAGGCATGCACCATAACCGCTCAAGTCTGATAGTGTCTTTTATTGAGATCTGGATGACTGGCAGAGCAGCAAGTTTTGAAACGAGAGTGAGTGGGTATTCAAGGCCATGACTCCTTAGTAGTATCCTCTGCAGCACTGTACTGTGGCCCGCAGCCCCCAGAGATAATAGTAAATAAATTAAATGGAGTGCTGCTCAGTGTGTAGGATGGAGACACTTCTCTGTGCTCTTTTCTATAACAGGCTACCCCTATAATGTTAGAGACATCATGGCTGTCTGTGTAGGCTTCAGGGTATCTGTAGTGCTCATCCGCTGCGGCTGTGTGTCTAACAAGTGCATATCTCGTCCCACACTCCCAGAGTGCGGGTCCAGCGGCCGCCTTCCTCTTCTGTGCCCCTCCTGAGCCGTGGCCACTTTTCCCCGGAGCATGTGTGCTCCATCTGTGCAATTCTCAGGTCTGCCCGCCCTGCCGAGCGCTCTACTCTCAGTAACCCTGAAGTACTTCGTTTAAGAAGGAGATGGGTGTTAGCCATCGGACTGATTCCAAAAGCTTTTGACTTAGCTTTTAGAGTGCTTTTCAGAATGTCAGTTTCTTACATAGAGAATCTCACAAAGGCCCAAGATTTATATATTTCCTGTGGAATAAGAAATATGGTTATGAAGTAGAATTTTAGAACACTGGGGAAAGTTATTACCAAAAATATTATAATGTGTTTAATAAAATCTTGGTTCTGCTCTTTATAAGCCAGACTTTCACCTAAATTACATTTATAAACTGAAAAACAAGCTAGGTGTCCGAGCTGATAGCCCTGACCATCGCCAGGTGTGCTCTGAGTGGGCGCCGTCTCCGCGTAAGCCCAGCTCCTGCCACCGTGTTGTGCGGTGGCCTGCATTTGGGGGCCGGCCCGCACATCGCTGCCTGGCGGTACACAGAAGACATACCACAGTCGTGCTAGACTGGAGGCTGGAGGGGAGCAGTTTTACTGGAATATGTGAAAGCAGATGGGAGACAGAATACGTCTATGAGCTGGGCTCTTGATCACCAAAGAACCATTTGTCATTTACCTGGAGCAGAAATGTGCAGGTGGCACATGAGCTCTTGGAAAGTTGTCTTAAAGGTGTGGCCCAAAGAGTTTTACTGATTTTTCTTATAACTTACAGGTAAGAGTCAGTGAGTATGCTTTCACCAGGCACTGTCCTGAGTGCTCTGTGTCCTTATCACTTCATCCTTTTGGTGAGCAGTAAGGCCTGATGGGAGTCATAGTGTAATACAGCTCACAGTAAGATGTCGTTTGTTTCTGTTTTCAGTTTGATATAGATTCTTACCAATTGTGGCCCACACTTCTGCATCCTTTGGAATTGGCTTCTGTTGTGATTTTTTCTGTAAGATTTTTGCTTGCAAGTATGATCTTGCAACTTTCTATAGTTAAGCGTTTTGTGTAATTTTTCTGACTGATGAACCTCTGACTCAGTCGTAGCTGAACCAGTGAATGTCACCAGGTGTAGTTAGATGAGAGCGCG